TCTGGAGACCCCGCTAACAGCACCCGCTCCAGCTTAAAGCTGTGTGCCCTTGGCCAGGTCGAGTACCCTTTCTGAGCTTCAATTTTTCTATCTGTAAGATGAGAACAATTCTAAAAGGCCCTTGGGGTGGTTGTGAGGCTCAATCCACAGCCCAGTACAAATGTCCACTGTTCCCCTGTTCTCAGAGGAGCAAAGGGGACACAGGAAAGCTGAGGAGCCGCCGGGTACCTTCCTGCAGGGCTCCCCTGAAACCTTGAAAACTGTAATACTGGAGCAAAAGGAAATGTCACACTTCCCAGTCCAACTCCTTAATCTTAAGAGGGGAAAGGAGGGACGTGGAAAGGGAACAGAGCTGACCCAAGGGCCTACAGCCAGTCGGGAGGAAGGTCCCCCTGGGACCCAGGACCCCCGAGCACCCAGGCCAGGCTGAGAGCAGGTGGGAGTGCCTTTAGAGGCTAGGAGAACAGCAGTAGCAAGAACAGAGCAGATGAAAGCAAACCGGCAGAGCCATTTCCAAGGGCTATTTAGTGCAAAGGCAAGGCGCCCCAGGGCTCAGCCACACCAAAGCTGCAACAGACTGCTGGTCACGATCACTACCGGAAGTCATCAAAACGTTAAGCCACCACACCCCCTATTAAAGACGAGGAGAGTGTGCATGACACATTTTGGAAAGTTTTCCACCCCACATCATTAAAACACAAGTTTTGGTGCTTAAAGGGATAAAGTTCAGCTACTAGGAAATTTTCTTAAACCCAGCAGCTCAGTGACAGACAGACGAAGTCCCTTCTCAATGTATTACTGCCTACTCAGAAAGCCTCCCACAAGGAAGTCAGTCGGCCAAGGTTTTACCCAGGTTGAGCAAGAAGCGATGTGAAACCACACGGGTTCCCAAATAAAAACCACATGGGTTCCGTGAATTTTGATTCCACTCATTCACATGTTCTTTCCAGCGGTTACCAGTAAGTACAGCTGGTTCTCAGGCTTCCCCAGCCCATGGTGCCGCCAGCCTGCCACTCCCTGGGGAATTTTCAGTTAATGTAGCTGACAATCATTCACCTTGGAGAACCAGACCACGGCCCCCAAGGAGACCAAGGGGTCGAGTGTTTTCGATCATCCTGGCCCTGCTGGGTCAAGACACCAGGTATTCGTTACACCCCTTCCAGCCAGCTCTACGATACCCACCGGAAGGGGGTGAACTAAAGAGCATCGATACAAATAAGACGTGGGAGAAATCCTGTTTTTCCAAACAAGGATAGGCCCATGCAAGTGAACTGTGCCTCTCCCAGCTCCTGAAAAGTTGGAGGAGATAAAGATGAACACCCACCTCAGGAGGAAGGCTCCTTCGAGGCGGTTTCAACTAACAGAGCTGGCTGGCCTGGTCCCCTTCCTGGCTTACAACCAAGGCAAGCAGGGCAAGTAGCAACACGCAGGCCCAGAAGCAAAGGTAAGACCTTCCCTTCTGTAACTTGCCTGGCCTGTACCAGGGGGCCCCCTTTGGCAGTCTCTCGGGCTCTCAGGCTGGGGAGGGGGGACGCCAGAGAAATATCAGGAGAGACCAATGGGAGCCCTGTACCAGGAAAGAGCAACAAAGCCCATCAATCAAATCACTTGGCTCAATCCCAGAATCCCAGTTCTAGAACTATCTAGAAATGTGCCTCAAAATAATCTGTAAGAACTTAAGAAGCCCCAGGAGGCTCAGCAGAACTGACCTAGTAGAAGAGGCTCTGGTCCTGCTGATAACCATTCTGGGCTGGTAGACAGCACACTTTTTCCTGAAAGATTCTGACCCACTTACTATAGGGGGCCTCACAGCATGCTGGGTGGGGCTGGGACAGCCCAGAGCCCCGTTCGCTAACGCCCACGTGAAAATCCGGGGAGAAGGCCAAGTGAAAGCTCCTGTAGCCCCATTCCCAGAAAGAACTCAGGTCCACCTGCTCCCACTCCCTGAAGGAGATGCCCCCAGAAGATGCCCTGACCCATTCTCCTCCTGTCTACGGACTCCCCACGGTCATCCCTCAAGATACCACTGCCTTCCTATTACTCTGCCTTTAAGACAGCTTCAAGAACTCCACGTGTCCCTTACAGCCTGCTGTGGGGCCTGGTTTAACCCCAACTCTACCACTTGCTGGCTATGCTGCCAACCTTGTCAACCTCGGTGTGCTCACCGGTAAGCTGAGGACACCACCTACCATATGGTCACTACAAGGATTACTGACATCATTCACACAGCCTGCTCAATAGGGCCTGGCAATGTGTGCTCAGTGAATGGCAGCTGTCACCCTGTCTTATAGAAGCTGGCAGGGTCCTCTGAAACCTAGCTTTAAAAAAATGCTAGGAGTGCCTGGGTGGCTCAGTTGGTTAAGCGTCGGATTTCAACTCAAGTCATGATCTCAAGGTTCGTGGGTTTGAACCCCACGTCAGGCTCTTTGCTGACAGTTCAGAGCCTAGAGCCTGCTTCAGATTCTGTGTCTCCCTCTCTGCACCCCTGCCCTGTTTGCTCTCTGCCTCTCTAAAAATTAAATAAACATTGGGAAAAAAAATTAGCTAGAGGTCCAGGAAGCCGCTGAGAAAGTGTTGTCCACACTGGGAAGCCCTCACTCACCATGGTCAAGGAGGCAGGGATGCGGCTGGGTGATGAGCAAGGCAGAACCAAGAAGCTGACTGGCCAACGTCAGTCCAAACCAACAAGATGTTGACCCCCTTGGGGGGCAGGGCAGTCACAGGTCCACTACAGGCCCACACATCCAGTCATTACCCACCCTCTCCGGTCACCATCTCAGAAACCAGCCCCCCATCCCAGCTCCCATTTGGAATTCTCTAAATGTTCTCCAAGCCCAACACCCTCAGTAATGATCACTGACAAGGCCCCTTGTCAGTGACAAGTCTCCAAGCACCCAGAAAGCAGCCCCCACTGGCCACTCCAAGAGGTTTCCTGACTTTTAGGTGCCCCCTGGTCCGGATGGGGCACATTTCACCATCCCCCTCAAGGAGCAGAGAGCTCTAGGAGGCACTGGGCCAGACTACACCAGCATGGAAGCCGTCCTGTCACCTGATGCCACCTGCCACACACCCAGTGTTTTGTTCTCTCCTCAACCGATTGTTAAGCACCAAAACTGGGCTCACAGCCTCCCCCTGGACCACACTTGGGCTTGTGGGAGAGAATGTCCCATGTCTGTGTCTTCAGTGCCTAGCACAGAGGAGGAATCAACGAAACATTCTCAGGTGCAACATTCTCATGAGCGATGTGGCACACAGGCACACCTTTACCTGCTCTACAGAGAACCTGATTCTCCTGGCTGGCTGCAAGCATTACTGTTTTTAACCCATGTGGCAACGATCAGCGCTCAAGCACCAGAGGTCAGGGAGGCTCCATGCATTGCAAGGCTGTGGAAGGCCAGCGCCTGGGCACCAGGTGGTACATGCAAAGGAGATGACGCAGAGACAAGGAAGCAGGGGTCAGGTCTGTAGGTATTTGGGCACATCTTCCCAGCTAAGTAAAAGCAGAAACCCAAGCCTGCTGACAGGGCACAGAGGTAGACAAAATGACCCTCAAAAACATAAGATACCTGGCTCCGCCGGCAGTGGACAATCCTGGGGGCTGGTGCTGTGGTCCCAGGTGGGAGAGGCTGGAGCGGTAGAGGGGCTGGTTCCCCAAGGAGGGCGGTGCCCCACCCCAGGGGTTGGTGGTATTCAGCCTGGGTGCAGACCTAGCCCCAGAGAGTGAGGGCTTATTGTACGGGGCAAAGGCCTGGTGGGTCCCAAAGACAATGGCGGTCCTGTGGGGGGGCTGGGGGACAGGGTAAGCCGGGAGGTTGGTCATGGAGTGGCGGTAGCGGCCCGACACGGGGCCAGTTCCACCACCACTGAGGCACTGATGGCAAGAGCAGGCGACTCCCATGTGGCCCGGCGGGGCAATGATGGTGGTCACCGGGTATGGGGGTCCTGCTTGGCGCCGCACACTACGGCAGAAGCTCGAAGTCTTATTGGTCTGCGTGTGGGTGGCGTAGTTGACGGTATAGTTGTACCCCAGGGGAGCCAAGTCCACAAGATGGTTGCCCCTGGCCACCTGCTGCTCCAGGAAGTCACAGACACTGGCTTCATATGCTGTCCAGGAGCCATCGTCACTCAGCCACTCCCAGACGATGCCCCGGCCCGGGGCTGAATGTTGGGGGAACAGATGCCTCCGCACAGCCCGCATGGTACCTGTTTGAAAAGGAGGAGGACACGTAAATGGCTAATCTGCTAGCCCCCCAAAACAAAAAGGGCTTAAAAATTCTTTTTGGGGGCACCTGGGTGGCTCAGTCGGTTGAGCGTCCGACTTCGGTTCAGGTCATGATCTCATGTCATGGTTTGTGAGTTCGAGCCCCGTGTCCGGCTCTGTGCTGACAGCTCAGAGCCTGAGCCTGCTTCGATTCTGTGTCTCCCCCTCTCTCCGCCCCTCCGCCGCTCATCCTCTCTCGAAAATAAATACACGTTAAAAAAAAAAATTCTTTTTCTACAACCAAAAGAAACCAACATGGTCAGTGTATATAGGGTCATGTTGCTATCTGACCTAAAGGCTAGTACTGGTTATTCCTTCCAAATTTTGGGTGAAGGGTAGAAAGGGTAGAAAGCTCCCTCTCTGTAAAGAAACAATGGCCCAAAGGGACCTAATGGCAGAGGGGGATCTGTGCTCCTCGGCAGGAGTAGGGGATACCAGGAGCTTAGGTCAAAGAACAGCTATGGCTCAGATTCCAGGCTTTTTCAAAATATTTCTAATGATGAAACGTATGTAGTTTCACTTAAAAAACTGAGAAAAAAAAAAAAGGAAAGTTAAGAAAATTAAACCGTCCATAATCTAACCACACAGCTTATATCACAATGCATTTCTTCCCATTTCATCTTCTAGACACGTCCTTTTAGGAAGCTGACAATCACACTGAAAACTTTTTGGGCTGTTTTCTTCTGTTAGGCCATCAGTTTTCCTTACATCTCTAAAATTTTATACATAACTCAGTATTCATTGTTACGTAAGTCTCTTACGTGGATGTACCCATACCCTTTGACTCTTCAAGCAGCAACTACTGGGAAATACCCCGTGGTTAGCTTATATTCTTAATAAACCAAACCTGATGATTACAGAGAAAAATTAATTCGGGCCATGTTTCCAAGAGCACTTGCCAAAAGATGATCACTGCAATTTGCTTCTACTGGTCTCCTGACCCCCACCTCGCCTCCATCCTTGGCAGCCAGAGGGATACTCTTCACCTCCAAATCAGATTACAGCACTCCTCTGCCCAAATCCTCCCACGGCTCCCCCTTTCAGAATAAAAGCCAAGGGGCGCCTGGGTGGCTCAGTCAATTGAGCGTCTGGCTTGATTTCAGCTCAGCTCATGATCTCACAGTTGGTGAGACTGAGGCCTGCATCGGGCCCTGCGCTGACAGTGCAGAGCCTGCTTAGGATTCTCTCTCTCTGCCCCTCCCCTGCTTGTACTCTCCCTCTCCCTCTCTGTCTCTCAAAATAAATAAATAAACATGAAAAAAATAAAAAATAAAAAAAAGAATAAAAGCCAAAGCCAAAGTCCCTTCAAGGGACAACCTGCCCCTCCCTCAGGTCTGTCTTAGACCCCCTTCCTGGTGACCTGGCCACCCTGGCTCAGACCTCCACCTCTCCCAACACCTCCATTCCCTGATTAACACTTATTGCCATCTAACACAATACACAATTTCCACATTACATATCTTGTTTGCTGCCTTTCTCAGTGGACTCCAAACATCAGGAAGGCAAGGACTTTCTTCTGTATCCAACTGATTGGAAGGCTTAGTCCTCACACACCCAAGGACGCTGCCGTAGGGATCAGAGTAGCGTTTCTCAGTCTCCCCACCAGTGACATCCTGGGCCAAGAATTCTTTGTCGTGGGGCCGGTCCCGTGCATTTAGCAGCATCCCTGGCCTCTACTGACTAGACACCAGTGGCTCCCTGCCCAACTTGTGACAATTAAAAATGTGTCCAAACATTGTCAAATGTCCTAGGGGACAAAACACCCCCAGTTGAGAACCACTGGGTTAGACAGACGGGGCACAACTCCGAGGGGAACTTGGTGGTCCCATTCTCAGTAATACTGATCAAAACACACAACAAACCCTAATGTGAGCACACAGGAGAATAAAGTAACCTGCTCAGGTCACACGGACACTGTGCAGCGGAAGCAGAACTCATCACCAGGCCCTCTTAACTAGCACAGCGCTCTTCCTCTGTGCTGGCCTCTCTGCCCACAAGCCCCTCCATTTCTGCAGGTGGAAGCAGGCAGTTTGGGTTCAGGAAACAGGGGGGAAGGGGCGGGGCGGGCCTCTGCCCTGCGCTCTCAAGGCACTCCCTACTACTAAGAGGTACATCCCATACTGTGGTACCTGTACCACTCACAGCACCTGTCGGGGACAGGATGAAGGGCCGAGAGTCAATTCTATATATAACTCCACCATCAGCATGGCACCTGGCCCAAAGCGGGTGCTCCAACACATACTAGAGGCAGGAAGTGTCTTACCAGTGTCCTGGCGGAACTGGGTCCAGCTGGGGAGGTCAATGATGTAAGGGGCCAGCGAGGGGTCAGCTTGGCCTAAGGGGATGCTGTGGGCCAGACTCCCCAGCCCGAAGCGCTGGCCCTTCTGCTGGACAAACTGCTGCTCGATGTAGCTGCAGACAGTGGCACTGTAGGGGTGCCAGGTGCCCAGCCCATCCTGCCATTCCCACACGGCCACTGCCACGGGGCTGGTGTACACCTGAGCCAGGGAAGGGCCTGGGGCCATGGCCATCTTCCCCAGGACTCCCTCTTCCTTCCCAAACGGTTTCAGACCACTCTGGGCTGAAGTCTCGGGTTCATTGCCCAGTGCTTCCAGCAGACCTGTAAACAGGACAAACAGTTATCAACATACACGGTGTCCCTGAGAGTTGGCCTCAATGCAGGGGAAAAAAAAAGTATTTTCCCACAATCACTTTTTTCCCTAAAAGAAAAGAGCATTTTTTTTTTTTTTTTTTTTTTTTTTTTTTTTTTCAACGTTTATTTATTTTTGGGACAGAGAGAGACAGAGCATGAATGGGGGAGGGGTAGAGAGAGAGGGAGACATAGAATCGGAAACAGGCTCCAGGCTCTGAGCCATCAGCCCAGAGCCCGACGCGGGGCTCGAACTCACAGACCGCGAGATCGTGACCTGGCTGAAGCCGGACGCTTAACCGACTGCGCCACCCAGGCGCCCCAGAAAAGAGCATTGTGAATCAAGTACCTGATCCTGTCTTTTTGTTCAGGCAGCCAGGAAGAATTCAGTCAATCAAGCAACGTACCTGCCTCTGTAAATGTTCAGGAAGATACTGTGGAGTGAATTTTGGGTGCTAATCAACAGCCCAGCTTCTTTTTACCAATCATTTCCTTCTGACCTAACTACTGAGTATATCCTTGTATACTGTTTTCGTGAGTCACCCCAAATCCTTCGTGTACTGAGGCCACAATGACCCCTTACAATTATGTGAACACTCTATGGTTTCCAATGCAGGTTTGGGAGATACCGCTATGCTCCTGACGGGAAAAACCTGTGTCTCAGAAAGGACTGGGGGCTCAAGGACCCTCAAGAGGGTCAGTGGCAGAGCTGAGACTGAAAGCCTGGTCCTAGCTCTGCCCAGGTCTCCAGGGTACCCAAGAGACTTCATTAACCATGAAGGGCGCCCTAGATAAACATTAAGATCTCACAGATGCAGAAAGCCGGCCTCTCCGCACCCCTGTCTGGGCCTAGCTGACCATCAGTCAGGCCCAGAGAGTTTACACCCAGCTCCTGAGACACTCTTCTCTCAGCCACCCTCGCCCATCCTCTTCTCTTGTAAACTCTACTCAGCCTTGAGGCCCAGCCTGTGTGGTTCAGGGAGCCCTTCCCTGGCTCACGTGAGCTTCTGCCTTGCAGCACCGGCCAGAATGCTAATGCCTCTATATATGTATGAGGAGGAGGACGTTCCAGAATTTTCTGCTCCTCCAGACAGCAGCGAGCCGGGGAGTCTGTCTTGTCCACAGTCCTATCGCCAGCTCCAGCAGAGATCTTGTCATGTGCTAAGTGTTGTATACATACTAGTTGACAACACGGCTGAACGCGAAGCCGCCTGCAGTGGTCTGAGGAAGGGCGCTATACTGTGAACGTACCGCGCCAGGCGCCCGGAGCACCAGCACTCGGAGTTCAGTAGGAACAGGACCAGTGTAGTGGCAAACACCAAATATACCTGTCTCGTGTATGCCTAACAGACTGACAAGGTGGCATTTCTCCCACTTTACAAGGCTCAGAGAGGTCAAGGTCTTATTGAAGGTCACATGAATACTGTTGAGTGGCGGCAGAGAACAAGCCCAGATCAACCCGGCTCTAATGTCCATTTCTGAGAGAAGAAAACTCAGCCTGACTCCACCTTGGGCTCCACTTACAGGCCGCGCTGAGAAAGGCGGAAGGAGAGAGGAAGCTGTGTCCCAAGTCCCCCAGCACCCTCAGCGGTTACAGCACGTCCACCCAGGGCCCCGGTGCCAGTACGGTTCCCAGTCACACCATCTGTTCAGATTCCTACACAACCCTCTTAAGTGAACACGCTGAATTTTCTCCCCATTTTGCAGATGAGGAAATCAAGGTCCAGGCAGTTGTGGGGACTTGCTTACACAGTGGGACCCTGGGCTTTTTGCTGCTGTCCCTGCGAGTGCACTGCACTGTCAAGGTGTCGAGAAGGCCAAAGACACCCGCCACAAGGAAGGCAGAGCTGGAGCCCTAGGTGAAAGGAACAGGCACAGGCTTACTTACTCCACTCGCTGTGTCATCCTGACAGAGGTACCCGAGCTCTCCAAGTTTGCTTTCCCCTACTTGACAATGATGATAACAACATCCATGTTCCGTGCTTTTCACGGGCATTCAGACAGACAGGTGGTACAGAGCACACAGCAGATACCCGCAGAGCCTGTCCTCCCTCCCTTTCCCTGCCCACCCCTGCCCCCCATCCCCCGGGGCCTCCCTCCCACCCCTCAAGTCCAGGTGAGGAGCGGCAGCCTGGGGCGGCACTGGGCTACACAGCACGAGAACGCGGGCGATGAGTCAGGCCTGCAAGAACGCAGAGCACGCCCGCGGGTGCCAGGGCCGCCAGTGAGCTGCCAGCTGCTCCAACAAGAGCACACATCCCACTCTGGAGGATCAGACCTGGGATGCCCTTGGGTGGCTGGCTTATTAGCTCCGTGACTACAATTAGAAGTCTCTGTAACCACATCCAGGTACAAATCACAGGACCGGTTTCAGAGCCAGCTACTCCCGGGCTCGGACTTTCCTCCTGGCACCTCCTGGCAAGCATCACTCACCCGGCAGGCAGCGGGGGCCTCCCACAGATCAGCACCCGTGGTCCGCTCCAGCATGTCCGCACATCCCCGGATGAACCAACTTGCAGAACTTTGCCAAACAGCCAGAGAAATGCAGGCTAGTGCTGCAGCTCAAGTTTTTCCTGAACGTGTTCGGCCTCCACCGACCAAGGGCGCACCCTCCTCAGGCACTGTTGGGGTCCTAAAGACCCAGAGATGAAAAAGACACGGCCGCTGGTCCCCCCTCAAACCAAGGCCTCCACCTTACATCCAGCCATACCAAATTTTAGCAAGTGCCAGAACATTCCAAGCCATTTCCTACCACCTCACAGCTGTAGAGCCTGCTGCTACGTGTGTCCAGACTCCAGTCTTCTCTTCACCAAGAACCCAAACATGCCCATCTTTCCAGAATCAGTCACAGCACCCCTCTCCTGAGCCCTCTGACCCACACCTCACCAGAAAAGTGCTGACTCCACCCACCTGTGAGTCTTCACTGCATATCCTACTTATCCAAACATGAACACAACGACATCCACTGGTCTCGGTGTCTGTCTGCCCACCGGAACAGGAACTCTCTGAGGACAGAGCTAGTGCTGGCCCAAAGCTGGGGCTTTAGTTCTTCAAATGCCTAATATCCCAGAGGGTCTAAAACCCCAGCGGACAGAAGAGAGGTGAACCTTCTGCTCCAGGGGCCTGGGGCACATTTGAAGCAATGTCCAAAAATGCCCACTGGCATGGCACCTGAACAGAGCAATTACGCATGTCCAACAGCCATGTCAATGCGCCCATTCTCTGCAACAACCTCAGCCATCACGAAGCTGCAGTCCAAAAACCTAATTTGTCTCGGCTCCTAATGATGGGGGCTATTTAGGGTGTTCCTAATTATGAAAATAATAATTATTATAATTGCCCATAGAAATAGTCCTCGATCTGGAACCTGAACACCTACAATAATGGAATTCTTAAATAAGTTACAGTACATTCTAATGATGGAATATAAGTCTTGAAAAATGTTTACAAAAGGCTTACAGACCTGGGGCACCTGGGTGGCTCAGTTGGTTGAGCAACTGACTCTTGATTTCGGCTAAGATCATGATCTTGCGGTTCGTGAGTTTGAGCCCCACGTCAGGCTCTGCGCTGACAGAGCAGATTCTCCCTCTCCCTCTGCCCCTCCCCTGCTCCCACTCTATTTCTGTCTCTCAAAATCAGTAAACATTTAAAAAAAAGAAAGGCTTACAGACCTAAGATAATGTTCACGACAAATGAAAAATACAAGATATGGAACTGCACAGGCCCCACCGTTAGGCAGGAGGGTGTGCCCTTTATTGAACACCTACTGCGGGGCACACACTCTGCCTGGTGCTCTTGTCATCCAGCCCTCAACCCTCAACTGGAATTATGCCCATTTTATAGATGAGAGAACTGAGGCCAAAAGAAATTAAGAATTGGGGTGCCTGGCTGGCTCGGTCAGAAGAGCATGTGACTTTTGATCTCAGGGTTGTGAGTTTGAGCTCCTCATTGGATATAGAGATTACTTAAAAATAAAATCTTAAAAAAAAAAAAGAAATTAAGAATTTACCAAAATCTATGATGCCATAAAACCTATGTCCTTTCTGCCCTGCATGAACTAATTTTTAAAAGGCTGGAAGGAAGGGGCGCCTGGCTGGCTCAGTTGGAGGAGCCTGACTGAGACTCTTGATCACCATGAGTTCAAGCCCCATGCTGGGTGCAGAGATTACTAAAAATAAATAAACCTAGAAAAAAAAAAAGGCTGAAAGGAGAAAAAAGACTGGAAGGAAGATCTCTAAAATGTTAATAGGAGTGATGGATCATGGGATTTTTTTTTTTACCTCTTTCTGTACATACAAATGCTCTACAATGGTCATATTACTTCTTATGAGACCAAAGTAACATTTTAAAAAATATTAACGGGGCACCTGGGTGGCTCAATCGATTGAGTGTTTGTCTCTTGGTTTCAGCTCAGCTCATGATCTCATGGTTTATGGATTCAAGCCCCATGTTGGGCTATGCACTGGCAACTCGGAGCCTGCTTGGGATCCTCTCCCTCTCTCTTTCTGCCCCTCCCCTTCTCGCCTTCTCTCAAAATAAATAAATAAACTTAAAAAATAAATTAAAAATATCAACAGCCTTGACCACGAAGAAAACCTTCCTGTTTTCCTTCGCATTTTCTTGTGCAATTTAGCTGCAAATCCTGTCCACAGTACTGTGGCTGCGAGGCACAGAGGAAATTTGCTGTTCTACCAGAGAGGAGTTTTCACACATAAGAAAAAAAGTTACATGTGTCCCACAGTCTTTCTATCCCCAGAGGATTTAGAAAAGCTTTCGAACAAGATCTGAGCTGGCACAAGAACGTGAGTGAAAACCATCTTGCCTAATTGTGGGTCTCCAGGTGGGTGAACCACACGAAGGGATCCCACCAAAGCTGCGGCC